GGGATGATCCTATAAAGTATAGAATTTTTTAGGGTGTTTCTGCAATTTTTGGAACTTCTGGTGTGATGTTTCTGTAATTTTATGAACCTGTTGGGACGTTTCTGCAATACTGGAATTTCTGGATGATACTTCTGCAATTTACTAGAACTTCTGGGGTGATTCTGTAATTTTTTGAGAACTTATGGGGAGGTTCTTGTAATTCTGGAGCTTTATGGGGGTGAAAGGGTTAAAACCAATGTTTTCTTCCTTAACATGATGGAACGAGGAAGAAGATGGGAAACGATGAATTCGAAGCAGCACAGGTCAACAACGAAAACAAGCGCAATGAACAGTAACAATGATGAACAGTGCACAATTATTTATTTATTTATTTTTTATGAAACGAGACCAGAACAGTGCGTACAATGAAATTTTTTTTTTTTTTTTTTTATGGAACGAGACCAAAACACTGCGTATGATGAATTTTTTTTTTTTTTTTCTAGAACAAGAACGATGAATAGTAAGAATCTGCCAAAGTTTTTTTTTTTACCTGGACAGCCGATAAATAGTGATTTCGCGCGAACAATTTTTTTTTTTTTCGATGAACGGCGTTGTTGAGATTTTTTGTAATTTATATGAATTGAAATTAGGCTTTGATACCAAATTGATGTAGATCGTATTAGGGATGAGAAGAGAAGAAGAACGAGATGAGAAAAGAAGAAGAAAGAGATGAGAATAGAGAAAATTTTAAAAAGAAGATTTAATACCAATAATCAATAATCAAAGTCTACCAAAACAAATAACATATCTCCTATATATATATATATATATATATATATATATATATATAGGGAGACCACAAATTCTAAAAGAATTTTAAAAGAAATAAATAGTCATAATGACAACTAAACCCCTGAAAAGCATAATGACAAATAACTCTTATTCCTTACGTCTACACCTACTATAACGAAATATAATCCGATTCCTATCACATAACCTAGCTCTCATACATCACTTATATTTATAGTTAACTTACAATAATAAGAATAACACATACATCCTGTTCTTCTTACTATTAACGATTTACACATACTACCCTACTATTCTTAACAAGTTTGAATGCTTAAATTCATTCTTCTTCTCAAAATATTAATGTTATTCTTTTTTTTTTTTGTTATCTTAGTGTTTTATTTTGTCCCTTTGATGTAGAAGTCAATTGATCTAGCCGAATCTGAGAGCTCAAAAAGTATAAAAAGGAGACAGGAAGGATTATACATAAACAAAAGTCTTCCAACACTTGGAACCATAAATCCAAAAGGATCACTGGTGCTAATTTTTGCACTCACAATTCTAATAGCATGTCACAATAAATAATCAGTCTCTAGACGTAGTGTTATCTATTCTCTCCCTCCCACCCATCCTCCCCCTCCCTCCAACGTGAAGTTCATTGACAATGTATAAAGATCGTTTCGATATCAAAAACAACAATAATAGCAGATTTGAAATTGCAACCTCCCCATTGTTCTATCTCCAATTCATTACTAGAACATGCAACCGATGATGGAGACAGATATATAGAAAATGTGCAGCGAGGAATCTTTCTAGCTGGCAGTCTTTACTTAAATCGGCTCAAGCTTGACCATTCATGTAAATATAAATTTGTTGTACACATTTACCTGATATTTTCTGTTTGTGATGTGGGAAGCTGACCTTGTAGCAAAACAACTTCCTATTGTGTACTCATCAACTGAATGCTCATGTCACATTTTTCCCTGACAAGTCTAATGAAGGATCTCTTATCTGGACTTTTGTTGTAAACTGAGAAAGGCATCTCATGTTCCATATTGAGATTCTAAGCTTACCCACCTGCTGCAATCTTCATTGAGTGGGCATGGGCGTGGGCATGTTTCTATAAGCATTCCAAGTAACCAGATTTTAAGTGATTACATTGAGTCCATATTATTATACTCATCTTTTTTCTGAATTATTATACATTTGGATAGAAAGGAATCATATTGCAATATTGACTTGTCTCTTCCGTAGGGTTTTCTATTTATCTCAGCTTATCTACACAGTTACTCCTACATCCAGTAACATGGAGGAAACTCATAATACATCAACATTTGCAAGCAGGGGAAAAGCATGTTGAGATCTTTGCATCACTTTATAAGGTTTGCTATGACATGAGCAAATGGTCTGATATTTGAAGAAGAATTTACAATCCTAATTCTTTGGAACTCCCTTTTATCGTGTAATTTATATATATTTTTTTCAGATTATTGTTGAAAAAGCCTTGATTAAGAAGTATCAAATGGAAATTTTGATTCTCAAACAAGAACTTGGTCACATCTAAAGAAGGGGATGTTTGGTGGTGTCAATCACGAGGAAATTTTGAGCTCAAGACAAAATGGTTTTTTTTCCTTCTAAATCCTTGGCTTTCAGTTTGGTGCGAGTGTGGTTAGTGGCCACGTATTGAATTGAAATATATTAATGATGGTTGGTGTTAATTGAAATATATTAATGATGGTTAGTGTTCTTTGTTTTGTGACCTCTTTTTGACGTGGGAAGCATAAATTTAACTTCTCTTGCTATGTTCATCATATCTTCTTGTTGAATAGTTGGAAGAAGGACAAGTGAAAATGCAATCAAGATTGGAGGAAGACGAAGAAGCCAAGGATGTTCTAATAAGCGTCTTGTCGAGTCATCAATAGAGACAGGCGAGGAAGATGTAAGTTCAATTTGTTGCATGAGAGGATATATAGTTCGTTATTACATTTTCTTTTAGCTTACACTGTTGGTATCACTTGAGCAGAACACATGATCTAATAGTCTTTATTTTTAAGCCGAATTGTTGAAAACTTTAGGCTAGTGAACATCTGTTGCCTACACACTACCACAAATAATTTTTAAAATTGGTCAGCATAAATATTTCTAATCATCATCAAAATCTTTTGGATTCATTGTAGTGTCTATGCTTGTTTAGAATATCTGTAGATTCTGTACCTCTCTACAAGTGCGTATGGGTACGATAAATCTTACTGTGTCAGTTGCCCCCGCGCGGCCCGAGGGGGGGGGGAGGTATTTCTGCTAAGAACCGTTCTCTCTTCCCCTCACCCCTCTGTGTGTGTGTTTGTATCCAGACACGTGCGGCAAAAATTATTTTTGTGCTTATGAATCCATTGTAGTTTAACTTTTGCATCTAGTATTTCAATATTGAAAACTTGAATGTTACATTGATCTTTTACTCTTTTTGGGGGGTCAGAAATTTAATGTTTTGTGTGATAGTTCTTTGCTCATAGGGAATCACTGTCAGAGTGACACTCCATCTTCTGTTTTGGCTATTCCGTCATATAAATCTTATGATCTTCGAGCCAGTGGAATGATGATCTATCTCAAGCTGGCAGTACAATCACTGTATCTACCCAAAGCAGTGAAATAGTCAGTGGTTCCTCTAGTAATTTGAAACTGTCACCAGTATTCTTCTTTCACTATCTTTCCATATGTATTATTATGATTAAAATTGGAAGCATTTCGAGTATTATTGCGAACTTGTATGGAGATTGTTTCATCACTTCACAGTTTACCTGCACTAAAGCACTTCGGAAAATGGATTCATGAATGCATGTTGTTTATCCAGTTAATCTATGTGAATTGACTTTTGTTCCCAAATGCTAAGACGTATGGTTGTTTCTAGATATTCATCTATATTCCCATGTACATTGGCATAAATTTGTATGTCTTATTCTCAGTATGTTTGAGCATGGTTAGTTTTCAATATACATCCACTTTTGGTGGAGATTTTCTTGTATGTACAATATTGTTTATTTCTGATAATAAGTATGAGTAACTCATTCGGAAATGTTATTTCAATGCCACCATCACTATAAGATAACAACTTAGGAAGTACGAATACAGAAACGGGATATGGATACAAAGATATTACAAAATTTGAAAAAAATAGGATACGAATACGGCTAAAATACATCTATAATAAAATATATTTTATATTTTACTATTGTTTAATGACTTAAAAATTATAATTTTAAATAATTATTTAATGATAGTAAGCAAAATTAACAATTTTTACCTTGAAAAATATGTAATATCGTCTCAGTATGATATGTTCATAAAGTGAAAATGACCAACTAAAGGAATCAAAATCAACATTTAACTAATTGATTTATTCACTTGTATTTGTTTATAAATTTATAGTGTAACTAAATCATTTTTTTATACTCTTGTGACAAGTAATCTAAGATAATAATTAAAAAACACACAGAATTGTCAAAAATTAAGTGAAATTTTGTTGATGTTTTTTTATTATATGCTAGCTCAAAAGGAGAGAATATAGATTAAAATTATAAATTATACATCTTGCTCCATATGTAGAAGTATCAGAAAAGTATTCACATATTTTATTAATTATTTAATATGTATGATAATGTGTATCCGATAAGTATCCTCGAGTAATATATTCGATACGGATATGTTGACCTTAACAAAGTATGTATGTACTTCATAGATGACAATTTTTTCATTTGGCCCTAGTGTTGATCATAATTTTGAGCTGCTGCATCGGTCGTTCACACATCTTGCTTTATTTTCCATGCTTCTGGTAGTGGAATGTAGGGTGGGAAAACAATATGTGCCTCAGCACCAGGACCTGAAGCATTTAGTGGAGTTTAGAGCTCAAAAACTCGAGGACCACTCCATTCTCCTTTCAAAGACCTATAGTTCCTCTTGTTGTGCTGAATTTATATGGTTCCAAATCTTTTGGAACCTGTAACAGAAGAGTAATAATTTTAATATCGATGAAGTATCCAAATCATTTCTTCGGACTGAATTTGGTTGTATCCTTCTGAGATTATGTTTGGTAATTGCTTCTTTCTCTATGATTTAACTAACAATTTTTTTTTTGCATTTGAACTTATTGATTTGTATAACTAACATTGATGCCTTGTTTGGAGATGTGCAATGCATGTGTTGGAGGAATGTAAAATCTATTCTCTCTCCTGATGAAGCAGCAGCAGCAGACTTTTCATTTTGGTTTGCATAAAAGTGAGATTTGTTTCCTCGACATTATCAGACTTTTCATCAAAATTTATTGATCACTCAACCAACGTATACATGTTATATTAGTCTAGTCTACACACGATTTGACAAAAGGCACAAAACCAGTCCTTTTCTTCCAGTCACAAGCCACAACTGCTCTCCCACAATGGCAAGAAAGTCTGCATAAAAAAAATAAAACCTCACGGATCACAAAACACATTTTGTTATGCTCTGGTCTTCCTTCCCCCAACCCCACAAACAAAAAATTCAAGAAAATGACATTGAGACAGCATTAACTTAACCAGCAGACTTCGTATGATGAGGGTAATCAGGGAAACAAAAAAGTAATAACAGAAGCAAATACGTTATGAATAATATGGTCCATTCGCATGACCAGCATCGCCTCAATTATTTTTCAAGGTCTACCAAATTGTCAACCAGAGAAACAGTAATCGAAACTATTGCCTTTTTTTGGTAAATTAATCACAACTATTTCTAAATGTCCCAAAAAAAATGACCCATGTCAGAAATGGGTTTCTAGTAACTGGCCGTCTGCTTAAAGAAATGTGCCGATGGAAATTATTTAACAGAATGATATTATCTAAAGATGTATTCAGTTTTACAAGTTGGCCATTTACCACGAATAGCAAAAAGGAAAGCAACCAGAAGCACATTGCATATAAGAACATCATAAGCAGCACCAAAATCAAACTCGACCTGATATACCAAACACCAAGATCATCAAGAAAGCCAACAACCATCAAGGTATCAAACAGCCTCAACATTCTTGCTCCTCCTTCGGCACTTTCAATGGGCATGTAGAAGTGGATGGTAGCTGCAATCAAAACCAGGAAGAGACATGGTTTTTAAGCTTCAAAACTGCTCTACATTTGTCAAATGTAAATACAATGAGACTCCATGATAAGGCCCATGCTTCATAAATTATGCACATGAATCCAGTTAAAAATAGAAGGAGAACTAATAATCACGTAACTATTTGAAAAGAAAAAAAGGCTTTGAATCTAAATGACATTTTTCTGGACAAATTCTTTCAGCAAATCTTTAGAGGGGATATTAGGGAAATAGATAGAAATTCAGGGAGACAAGAGATTACTTCACGAAATCCTGTCTCCAAAAAAGCCGAAACTAAAGAGTTTTTGCAATCTTATTATTGTGTTTAGTACGCGGTAATTCTTGAGATTGAAATGAAATGAGCAAGTGAATTGAATGGAATGTGCATTACCATTTCAACATCTACTCCACACTACCATTCTAATGTTTGACAACAATTAAGTATAAGTAATGGAATAGAACCATTCAAATATCTAGACAAATCAACTCTTTTACTAAAAAAATTATATTTAATTGAAATACTCTTGATGACACTAAAATAAAGCTATTTCGAGGCCCCAGCCTCAAAATCCCAAACAGGAACCCAGTCCAAACATGGACCTCGGACCCTGTACCAAGACCCAAACTCGACACTAGACTCAAACTTGGCCTTGAACTTGTTCAAGACCCAGACGTGCCCTGATCCTAAATTCAACCCCGGACTAGACTCTGAACTCAACCTCGACTAGACCCCAAACTCAACCTCGACACCCAACCTTGAACTTGACCCTTGTTCTAGACCACATGCTTTCCCCGGACTTGACACCTAAAAATGGACCCCAACCCTAGTCCCAAAGTGGGCCTGGTCACATCCCCTCCCTAGACCCAGGACCATGACCTCTGGTGGAGGTAGAGGTGGCATAGTAGTAGTGATGGTGGAGACAAATGGTTATAGTTGGAAATACAAAATACCACCTCATGTTAAGGAATGACAAATCTTACACTGGTAGGATTAAGCATTTCATGATAATGGAAATGGATTTTCTTTAATATATACCAAACATTGGAATGGACATTACTTAGTAATGGTCATTTCATTCTCATACATCATTACCACCTATCAAAGTCTTGTACTGCTGCAGTCACTTAGAAACACAATTGCCTGCTAAAGATTATTCAAATTTCACTCAACAACCAGCGCGAGGGGGGCATTCAGCCTTGGTGCTTTTACACATGGAGAGAATTCAAGAGTAGGAAAAACAAAACCACTGTTGGGTAGAAAGAAGCACTCAACAGTAGCACTGTAAAGCCATCAGCTCCTCTTGAGATACATGTATTATAGCATAAATTCATTAATATATATGGACACACACATGTACAATACTATATAACAATAGCATGCACTGGTATAAAATACAGATAAATTTTACATGTCACAAGGAGTCAATCAATAGGTCCAACTGGCAATAGTTGTCCTTTTATTAATTTTAAGCAAGCTACAAGTTGTTTTAACCTACCAATAGAGTACCAATATACAAAAAAAATCACATACAAATTTTAGGACTCCAATTCGAACAATAAAATATTCATGAAATGTATAGACAGCTGAGAGCCACGGGTAAAATAGCTCAAATGAACCAACAATGGTCAGATCAAACAACTCTAATCATACCTTGCGGAGACTTGTAATTGTCGACTTCAACAATTGATCCCCAACTATCAATCTCAACTTCTTAATAAAATCCTCCCGGCTGAGTTTCTTGGTCTAATAACATACCCAACAAAAGGAGCAGAAACATATTCAAATAACTAGGAAAACCTCAACCTAACAATAAGACAAAGAAATATATTACTATACAAACCCGGAATAAGTCATAATGAAGCTGCACCAACTTCATATCTTTAGGAGAAACTTCATTTGAAATTGCTTGAAATAGCATGGCAAAAGGCATCCAAGGGGAATTAGGAGCCTTTGAAGTGGTTGAACCAATACTAAGGACCTTTCCTTGAGATTTGTCCAATAATTGATATTTGTGGCAATTTCCCACCTAGCAAATTAACAATGATAACTGTGAAAGTCAGAAAACCACGAGAACAGTGTCATGCAGCAGCCAAAAACAGCAAACAATGGTTAGCTTCCATCAAGCACATAAAAAAAGGCTTCTTCTAACAAACAATTGTCCAAGTCATAAAAAATGGATAAAAGATCTTTCACAATGCCATTCACCAGCTTTCATGATCACAGTTGACAATGAAATACCTCACCATGATTCACATGGTTCCCATTCTCCCAGAAGGAAAAAGAAGTAATAAAAGAAACTAAGCATTTCTGTAAATGCTATTCCCAAAAAGGTGTTGCAGAAATGCCCTGAAAAGTTTGGGCTAGACACTTGATCAAATAAATAAGTTATTAAACCCTACCCTTAATCAAGTGAAAAACCAAAGTTTAATGTGGCATATTCTTAAATCACCTCATAGTTATCCACCTCTTCTTAAGTAGAAAAAGTTATATTCTGACAAAAAAAAATATATTATACGTTAGACCGGACTACAGTAAAACCTGTCAAACCTCATAGAGTAGTTAGTTGACCCAGGCCAGCTTGCATAACAATTAAAATTTCAAGCTTCGGCTCAGCTCCTGGGGACCTGGACTAGAAAGAACAGAAGAACCCCTTACAGTGGCGTGGGTCCCATCAACTTGTGCTAATACAAAGCACTAAGGAGTTCCCATCCAAGATTTGCTGTCCATTAGACAACATTAGCGGAGAAGACAGGTAAACAAAGAATCTTAAAGTACAGGAAGGATTACCGATTCAACTGAAGAAGAATCTAGCTGCAACTTGCCCTGAGGTCCCTGACTAGTAACTCCAGACAAGTCTAACCTGCTTTCTTCCCCTACCGGACTTGGAGCCCCTGCAGTGACATTGAGGAAGTCACATACTCCAACACCTGAAAGACATCTTTGAACAAGAAATAGAAGGTACTGATAGCCAAGAGAATCACTTTATCCACCAACCTCTCTCCCATTGTGTGCCATTTGACTCAGTAAAAAAATCAGAGGCTAAAGCAGTTACAGACACAGAAAAAATTTCTTCACATGGGATTCTCTTCCTCCCACGCTGGCGAGTAACTTATATCAATGTCCCTTCCCCCCTATGTTTTGCTAAATCAAGGCCTCTTAACAACGACATGAAGTTTTTACATCACTTTTAGTTTTATCTGACAACTTAATAACTTATGACTAAACAGATAATTTTGTGGATCTATTGCAGTCTTACACGAATAAAGATTACAGTTTAGAACATCACATAATATCCAATTAATGTTATATAGGATACCCACAACATGTTTGAAGATGCTACTTATGCAAAAGAAAAGTAAAGTTTGAAGATACTTATACATTTGCTAATCTAGGTACCAGTTTCAAGTTAGTTCATACTAACTTATATGTAAAATATGATTTAAAATTTTGTATATAATACCTAAACAAAATCTTGTTTGATGACTTCTTTGGGAAAATATAAATTTCCACATTTCATGCATTTATGTTCTGAAAATAATTTTTGTGCAGATGGGATTCTGGAAAAAATCAAGTAATTCATACTAGAGGGGAAGGAGTTCAATCTGGAAATAAGATAAGATTTAAAAGAGGATACGATTAAACTTCCTTCTTTTTGGAGCCATGGTTTTTCTTTAAAACAAAAAAGGGGAAAGTTTAGTCATCGTTCAATTTGGAAATATGATAAGATTTAAGTGAGGATTAAGAAAAATTGTACACGTAAAAACTAACAAATTCAATTTGGATCTACCACATGTTTCAAATAGCTTTTTAGGCAAAGTCTTTTCCAGGTGGAGGGAAATTGCATCTACCGTGGAGTTAAGACTGCCATGTAAGAATTATTCACAAAAATGGTTTGACCATCTTTCATGACATGAGAATCACATGACCTCAAATATATAGATGAAGCAAAGGCGATGCATGAGTAGCAAAAAGATCAAGCATCAGAGTTAAAACATAATCGTATCAAGTAGCACCTTCAGCACTGTGAGAAATCTTGAAACTGACAACAAATTCTGGAAAAATATGCGTGTTCATGTTCATATTCCAAACAATGTAATGACTTGGATTTTGCAGATCATCAACTCCACTATCATATTTTTCGCAACTGGGATGAAATTGTCCAGATCCATGATGAAGAAGTTCCAGATTCCCTAATATGACACGGCAGAACACCATGTACTGTACTCCATTTTCGTCAACATCACAATAACTCGCACTGAAAAGAAAAGAAAAGAAAAGCTAAATGAAAGCATATCCATTCACAGAATTATCCAAAAGAAAACATAATTATCCACAGAATTATCTTAGGCTAAGCATGCCAAACAAATGGCCTACTGCTCCCAGATAAATTGAAGTTAAGAGAGAAAAATAGAGTGAATTTCAATAGTTCCACTATAGGGCAGCCTAATCAAAAAAAAAAATTCCATTTAGTTGGTAGCAACCACCATATCCATTCATTACCAATCCACAAAGCAAACAACTAGGGAAAAAAGAGAGTATATGCAAACCTTGTGTGAGCATAATTAACAGCTGCGAGGTGAATTCCAATGCCATATTTGGTCTTCAGTTCAGATCCACCACAAAGCCCAAGCCCATAGGTCATAATGCTAGATACTGCATCTTTAGAAGAAGCAAGCCAAGCATACTGAACATTTGCATTCCCACGACACCTTTGGGTTATCTCAACCTGCTTCTCAAACAGTTCCAAGCGGGTATGAATTAAATTACTAGAGCATCTATTAATTTCAAGTGTATCCACTTTCAGCAATGTCCTCATGCCCATAATAAACAAATTTTTGACAGTGACAGAATCCACAGTTTTGCATGTAGAATCTATCTCAGGGGATAACTTCTCACTTATCTGCTGAAATTCCTCAACAGCCTCTCCCATTTTTGCATCAGATCGTCTGTTGTGTTTGTCATTAACAGCCAGTTTATCATGACTCAAAACAGGGTTCTGGCCAATTTTAATCCTTTTAGAACCAGTATTTGATTCCTCCACACATTCCTCCAACTTACAATTATTCACTCCATCTATATTGATATCAATATGCAGCTTGATTTGTTGAGTTACAGTTGGCTGTTTAGCCACATATTCTTCATCTTTTTCTAATTCAGATTGGTAGAATTCATGCATTTCACTATTAGTAGGCAATAATTCAGGAAAAAAGCAGTAACCTGCTTCATCAATCCAAGCAATAGGTTTCTCTAAACCAGTTTTCAAATCCACTTGAATCATATACAGGATATCTAGCATCAAATCAGAACCACTGATCTGCACCTCAATTGCTGCATTTTTCTTCTGAAAATCTTCCCTAACCAACTCAACTACTTCTGGAGGGAAATCATTCCATCCACCATTCTGATAAAACAGTAGACGTTGAGGTAGTCCACTTTTCATAAAATTGGTGTAGTTCTTGAGTAGTGATTTTCTCAAGTGTGACCCACACTTCGTTATGCATTTATATGATCTCTTCCTCTTGCCAAGCTTCTTAGTCAATGAGTTATGATCACATTGCGTAGACAGCACATTGTTGCTAGCTCCAATTACACGTGCCAGGTACTTGGCGGCCCGTTTTCTCTTTGAGTCAACAACAATTCTACGGCCACTATCCAACACTCTAACCCACTTTGATTCCATTATCTACACTCTCAATATCTATTTACAAATTTGCACTCCAAGGACTGACACCTAAGTTATCTTCTATCAAAAATCCACCAAAACCTATGCCATGAAGGAGATATTGCAATGCCCTAAAACAGGGGAAAATAAATAAGTCAACATATCCACACATTTCCAACAATATGGCATGCATATTTTATGAAATTCATTAAAACAAATGTACTAGAAATTTGTGAGTGCCATATATCATCAAAAGTGAAGCTTCCAATTCAACATAGAGAAGTAAAAAAATGCCAACCTACAGTTCATTTTTACTTTACTTTTTGCGCCAATTGACAGTTCTTTTTCCTTTGATTTTTGCACTTAAAAGGAAACCAGATATGCAAAAAGTTCCAATTTTTTTATCCATTATGACTGTGGCAAACAAATTGCTAAGCAAAGATCAGATTAGTGGACCCACTTGAAAAAAGTTCAGTGGTGTCACTACTGCATGAACTACAAATAAGGGGGCCTTATTGGGGCGTACTACAGATGAACATTGGTGGCTCAATAGAACTTTTTTCATTTTGCAGACATGCCAAATTGGGCAAGGTTATTAACTTCATTGTGAATAATTTTAAAAAAAATTACAGCATCAACCACAATACCTCTGTTTGCATAACAACTATCAACCAAATGAAGAATACTCTATAATTTGAATGTGCCTGACATTAATGCATAATAATATGCAATCAGCAAATCATTGTGCTGAAGTACATACCAAATTCTGCAACAAGAGGCCATTTCTATACAAGCCTCTCTTCTCCTCGACATCGCTGCAAAGTCGACAAATTCTTCTTTCTTTTACCTCTTTTTGTTTCTGGCTACAAACTTCTAAACAGCTACACTACTTACAGTCCCCTAAAATAAAATAATGTCAGCAACTCCCAAATAAAAATCTTTAAAGATGAAGGAAGCTCTATTCTTTTCTGTTCCAAAAAAGCAAGATCCACGAATTAAAAAAAAAAAACATTTCCCTATATATTGTGATTTGACTTCAAATAAAACAAGCCCGCAATAGTCACTGCCTCGTCAAATTCAAGTCGCTGAACAGAGTTTCTGTAAAAAGGAAGTTTTACATACTCTTGGTGACACTGTATTTACCTTTGTAGGTGAGAAACTCTCCCTCTTCACAGTTGGGGGAGTGATTATATCTAACAAAGAGGTATAGGTTAAGTCAACTAGCAAGCCTTATTGGCGAGGAACAGAGTGAATCTTTAGATAAATTTGTGACTAGTAGTGTTTGACTTCCGGCTGCATTACCGGGACTACTCACATAGTGGAGTAATGATACATGAACTTAAAAATTAGGCTTAAAAATTAGATTTGATAATTACAACTATTGATTTTACTTTTATTGGGACCCATTGAATAGGTAATGGCTCCCAATAAAAGTAAAATCAATAGTTGTAATTATCAAAACTAATTTTTAAGTTTAGTTTTTAAGTCCATTGCTCAAATAGACGTGTGTATATGAACCATTGAGCATCAATCACTTGCAAACCAATTTTCTCTTGTCCTACACATGGCAATTGTCCATTTGTTTTTCTTTTTACGTTCCCACGGATAATGTTGTTTCCCGATAAAAATTAAAAAAAACCAAAAAAAACTCTTATGAACTTCTCAAGAATAACTTTTTTTTCGAGTCTTAATAATTATTTCTCGATCTAAGAAACCACTCACATCAACATATTAAAACAGGCAGAAAAGGGTGCAAAACATGATAAAGACATCAGATTTAAACCAAAAGGCAACACGAAATCATCCACAAAAGCCACATAAACAAACATCAGCACCGATCCGTCAAATTCCCTAAACAATTCCAACTTCAAGCAAAGAAATAGTAAGAAACAACACAAATTTCCACAAAAAAAAAAAACTAAATCTGAACCACAAACCTATAAAAAATTAACAAAATACAAGATCCTTACCTATCTAACAGCAAAACCACAATTTTCATGTCTCTCAACAGATTTTGACTTGTCTGCCTCGTCGTCGTTCCGAGATCCAGCTTCTTTGTGAGAGAGAGTCGCGGAGGAACCGAGACGATGACTTTAGGCAGCGAAGACTGACGGCACAAAGTCCATAATTGAAAGAAACAACTAATTAATGTATAGTCGCCGTTGTGGATTGTTGTTGCTTGGGCGAGAAGAAAGAGAAAGAGGAGGAGAAAGAGAAAGATAAAGAGAGAGGAAGAGAGAACGAAAGGTCGGATAGACCTAACCTCGTAGATTCGAAGATAGAGGTGATATCTAGGGGTGGGGCGGATAGACAAGTACGGCGTCGCTTTAGGTTTTGAACACATTATACGGTGTCGTTTGTATTGTATGTCTAGATGAGATCGAAGTCAAGTCGGTTTGATAAGTGTTCATACGTGTGATGATAATTTGTTCGAAAGTATGACGCGCGATTTTGCCAAAAATAAAAAAAATATATAAAATGGAAGATGCCCGTGATATTGAGTAAAGTGGGGACCACCACATATATAATAGAAGTAATAATGCCTATCAACATCTTCCAACCACTCTTTATAAATGCTCCAGGCCCAGGCCCAGGCCCAGGCCCAGGGCATTAAACAAAAGTTAATGCGTTTGTTTCTTCTCCAATTTTTCTCTTTCTTTTTTGTTTTATTTTTTTATGTTAGAAATAGAAATTGTATTACTAAAAAGGCTGACGTATTACATCACTAAGTCGTCCTATATTCCTATTCCTACTTTAGCCTTCCTATGTAAGAATTTCAAATACCGGGGTGATAAGTCTTCCACTCAAGAAAAACTTAACTCTTCTTGCCTGTTTGGATGCATTGTGTGCTTTTGCCTCACTTCTAGCTTCTTCGAACTGGGCATGTGGAATGTGTGTTTCATATACTCCCAAATATCCTGCAAAATTGGTTCAATTTCCTTGGCATGTTCATTAGAGCCCTCATTGATTGAGTCTTATCTTTGAGTCAAATTCAACGATTATTATCTGATATATCTTTCTGAGAGTTAGCCTGCATATTCCTTTAATAACTTCAACTTTAATATTCAAGAATGATGATGCAAGTAAAGTTCTTGTCTCCCCATTCATCATTAATCTTTTGTGATTTCTTGCTATAACTGCATAGGCCCTTTTTCCAGTCCTCTCAACAAATGTCCCATTGTAATTAAGCTTTATCTAGCATTGTGGTGGAGATTCTCATTCCTTCTCTTTAGGTAGGGTTCGTTTGTTTAGTAGCAGAATGATAGAAATTGTTAAAAAAAAAAAAAAAAATTAAAATTTTATTTGTTTGGTTATCGTAAAAAGAAAAATTATAGAAAAAATAATTTTCTTTCATTCTTAAATTTTTCATAAATAACCAATTTTTTTTCCTTGTAAAAAACATAAGTAAATGCAAAAAAATTATGATCTATAACTAACTTCTAATTTTACTCTTATTTTTCTTAAAATATTTTATTGGTTATTAATTTAAAAAAAAATTGATATGAATTTGATTAATCATATAATTTGGCTCAAAGACCTTAATTTGTGTTGGTAATTGTCTTAGAATTAGGTTTCGAGCCACTTTTTTAAAATTTTATAACTTTCAATTATAATTATATTTTTTAAACTGATTTTAATATAATTAAAGGTAATTTAGACAATTATAAAAAATTTCTTATAACTTCACTTTCTTTCAAACAATAGAATGAAATTTTTTTAAAACTTTCCCGTAAATTTTTTATTATAATCAAATACATGCATGAAAAATATATTGTCTATCATTTTTTTTTCTTTTACTTTACTTTCTATTATTTTTACTTTTCATCATTTTTTTCTTCCTAATCAAACAGACCTTTAGGATTTTTGCAACTTTTTGGCTTTTTAGTACCATTCTTCTGTTGGGACTTTCAACTGTCATTACTGCTTCACTTAGAACCTCTTTTTTTTTTTTGATCAAAAGAAGACCATGCGACATTGTATTAAGTAGGAAAATTTAAATTACAATTAGACAAAAAGAAAAGTCTTAAGCTCGAAAGGGGGGAGCATAACCAATCCAACAGAAGTAAATTAGTTAGTTTAGCGACTGCCATCCAATAAGTAGTCCTATTACAGGGACTAGGTTTGTGTAAAAAGCTGAGGTTGTGTAACCTAACAAAATATCTAATATCATTCATAATAACACTAATTTCTCACGGGAGAACATCTTCAGTAGAGCTTAATTTGATAATACTAAGACAATCGTTCATGATTATGACATTTAAAAGAAGGGCATTAGCTAAGAGGCAAGCTTGGCGCACTGCCTCAGCTTTAAAGGATAAAAGGGACACTGCAAGGAAAGACCTAGCAGCACCGAAAGCCAAAACACTATCATCCTTACACACCACCACACCACATGCAGCCCTAACAGACTTAGGATCAAAAGTGTCATCACAACATATAAGATAATCACACATAAGAAGTGAGGGTAGTTCCTCTGAAACCTCAAAGATGCCTGAACGTGATTGAACAGCAGCATCCACCCTAAAGTGGTCATTCCACATACGTTGGGCACGAACAACCGACGCATAGGCATTAACATCCTCATCACAACAATCCTTTTGATTCCTAGCTTTCTAGATAACCCATCCCACAATAGCAACTTTACCCTATACCTCAAGCCTACCATGAGCATCCTCAAACTATTCTAAAAGCCAAGATGATCTTTGCACCACTGACATGAAAGAGTTCACTTCCCCCCCCCCCCCCCC